GGAGGCAGGAGACTCGCTTGAGCCCAGGACTTGGAGGTTGCTGTGAGCTGTGATGCTACAGCACTCTACCCAGGGGGGCAGCTTGAGGCTCTGTCTCAAAAAAAAAAAAAATACTTAGGAGATCCTAGGTCCCTCCCTTCTTTCCAAATGGCTGCCATGGCCACGGTCTGTAAAGTCTCACCTCTGCCTTGGGGCAGCCCCAGAATCCTCTCTTTGGGAAGCAAGATAGAAAGGGAGCTGGGCATGGTGGTGCATGCCTATAGTCCCAGTAACTTGGGAGGCTGAGGCAGGAGGATCACTTGAGCTCAGGATTCCAGCCTGGGCAACATAGTGAGAGCCCATCTCTAAAAACCTTAAAAAATATGTCAGCCAAACACAGTGGCACACATCTAAAGGACCAGCTACTTGGAGGAGGCCAAGGTGGGAGGATCACTTGAGGCTAGGAGACTAGCCTGGGCAACATAGCAAGATCTTGCTTATAAAAAAAAAAAAAGAAAGAAAAGTTGGCTCAAGTGGCTAAGGCACCAGCCATATACACCTGAGCTGGCGGGTTCGAATCTAGCCTGGGCCCACCAAACAACAGTGACAGCTGCAACCAGAAAATAGCCGGGTATTGTGAGTGCCGGTAGTCTCACCTACTTGGGAGGCGAAGGCAGGAGAATCGCTTGAGCCCAGAGTTGGAGGTTGCTGTGAGCTGTGATGCCACAGCACTCTACCTAGGGAAACAGCTTGAGGCTCTGTCTCAAAAAAAAAAAAGAAAGAAAGAGGAAGGCTCCAAGGCACCACCCTCCTCAGCTTCTCCCCTGGGCTTCTCCCATGTAGCCCCAGAGGAGGACACAGCAGCACCAGAGACCCCAAAGCCCTCCGAAAAGCCCCACCTAGGGGTGCTGACAGTGACCGACACAGCCCCAGACTCCATACGCCTCTCGTGGAGCGTGGTCCAAGGCCCATTTGATTCCTTTGTGGTCCAGTATGAGGATACAGATGGGCAGCCCCAGGCCTTGCTTGTGGATGGTGACCAGAGCAAGGTCCTTATCTCAGGACTGGAGCCCAGCACCCCCTACAAGTTCTTCCTCTATGGCCTTCGTGAAGGGAAACGCCTGGGGCCTGTCTCAGCTGAGGGCACCACAGGTACCACCAGGCCTTGCTGGCCTCTTGTCTGTGACTTGGAAGGGTAAAAGGGGGTGACCAGAAGCAGTGGTGGCAGGGAAAGAGTGTGGGGATACCAAGGAGGGAAGCGGTGGACTATATCTGAGCAGCCCTTGACTCTACTCCAACAGCATCCTCTACCTCCTCCTCCAAGTCCCTGATTAGTTCCATTTTACAGATAGAGAATTAGAGGCCAGGGTGGGATAGCAGAAGTGCCCTGCCCCAGGTCACTAAGCTGATATTTCTGTCTCCAAACTCTTCTTTCCCACCTACTCCATACAGGGCCAGCTCCTGCTGGTCAGACCCCAGGGGAGCCAGGGCCCCGCCTGTCCCAGTTGTCAGTGACTGATGTGACCACAAGTTCACTGAGGCTCAACTGGGAGGCCCCACCCGGGGCCTTTGACTCCTTCCTGCTCCGCTTTGGGGTCCCATCACCCAGCACTCTGGAGCCATATCCGCGTCCTCTGCTGCAGCGGGAGCTGATGGTGCCAGGGACACGGCGCTCAGCCATGCTTCGGGACCTGCGTCCGGGCACTCTATACAGCCTGACACTGTATGGGCTGCGTGGGCCCCACAAGGCCGACAGTATCCAGGGCACCGCCCGCACCCTCAGCCCAGGTGAGGCTTCATGCTGGGCTCACGCACACACTGCCCCAAAGTAGGGGTCTTAGCACTTTGCAGAGTGGGACCTAGTGCCTCAGCCAGAAGGGAGAGTGGTAAATTGCTAGAGGTCTTGGAGGCATCTTCAGAGTGACTTGCATTCCTGGGGTCTAGAGGCAAAGAAGGGTGATGAGCTGGCCTGGAGCCAGAGCAGGGGCCGGGGCTCCTACTGTAGGAACTACATGCTCCTGCCCTTACTGTTGTTCCTTCCCCCTCCCCAGTTCTGGAGAGCCCCCGAGATCTCCAGTTCAGTGAAATTGAGGAGACCTCAGCCAAGGTCAGCTGGATGCCTCCACCATCCAGAGTGGACAGCTTCAAAGTCTCTTACCAGCTAGCAGATGGAGGTGACACCATTTTACCCATATCCTCATTTGCTTATATTTCTCCTGTCCCCTGCACTCTGCCTACCCTCCAGCTGCTCTGGGGTTCCCTGGGTAACTCCCCAACCCCCAACACATTTTCAGGGGAGCCACAGAGTGTGCAGGTGGATGGCCGGACCCAGATCCAGAAGCTCCAGGGACTGATCCCAGGTGCTCGCTATGAGGTGACTGTGGTTTCCGTGCGCGGCTTTGAGGAGAGTGAGCCTTTAACAGGCTTCCTCACTACAGGTGAGATGGACTGAGACCCCAGGCAAGAAGTGAAGACAAGAAAATTTGGGCATGGGTGGGGGGTGAGAAGAAGTAGGGAGAGGGAGAGGGAGAGGGTAAGGGAGGCATTGGAGTCTCTAATTGCAGACAAAAGGCCAGTGGAGCTTGGGGAGGTAAGGGGTAGGAGAGCAGCAGAGCTCTGAGCTCCTCCCCTTCTCCAGTTCCCGATGGGCCCACCCAGCTGCGTGCACTGAACTTGACTGAGGGGTCTGCCCTGTTGCACTGGAAGCCTCCCCAAAAACCTGTGGACACATATGACGTCCGCGTCACAGCCCCTGGAGGTGAGCAGGGCTGAAACCTTTGGAGGGGACTCATTCAGGAAGGGAGAGCAGGGACAGACTGGACTATGTCAGGGCATGGAGGGGCAGATATTGACACCCACCTGCACTCCCAGCCCCGTCTCTGCAGGGCTCAGCCCCAGGCAGTGCCGTGGACTACCCTGTAAACAACCTTGAGCTCCACACCAACTACACGGCAACTGTGCAAGGCCTTCGGGGCCCCAACCTCACCTCCCCAGCCAGCATAACCTTCACCACAGGTACAGTCTGTGGGATAGATAGGATGGGGGGTGAGAAGTGGACTGCTGCTCCAGGAACAAAGATGGGGCTCATCCCTAGCTCCTCTTCCTATTTTACCTCTCAGGGCTAGAGGCCCCCCAGGACTTGAAAGCCAAGGAAGTAACTCCCCACACGGCCCTGCTCACTTGGACTAGGCCTCAAGTCCCACCCACAGGCTACCTGCTCAGCTTTGACACGCCTGGCGGACAGACCCAGGTGCCCAGCCCCTGCACTACTGACCAACTTCCCTCCTGGGCTGAACCCAGGAAGGGTTGACTCTGGCTATCCGGTGGGTCCCCACCTCCCTGACCTGCCCCTTGTCTGTCCCATAGGAGATCCTGCTTCCCGGAGGGGTCACCTCTCACCAGATTCTTGGCCTCTTTCCCTCCACCCCGTACAGTGCACAGCTCCGGGCCATGTGGGGTGAAAGCCTCACACCACCTGTGTCTACCTCCTTCACCACAGGTGCCTGGACACTGGGGCCTGCGGGTGGGTGCTGGGTGGGCAGCAAGAGCCTATGATTTGAAAAAAAGGATCAGCTCCTCACTCTTCTCTCCCTAGGTGGACTGCGGATCCCCTTCCCCAGGGACTGTGGAGAGGAGATGCAAAATGGGGCCACCACCTCAAGGACCACCACCATCTTCCTCAATGGCAACCGCGAGCGGCCCCTGAACGTGTTTTGCGACATGGAGACTGATGGGGGTGGTTGGCTGGTGGGTGGCATCAGGAATCCCAGGGCTCTGTGCAGGGCAGGGGCTGCTGCTCCAGGAGCCAGAGGTTGATGGTGCCCCTACCTGCTCCCCAGGTGTTCCAGCGCCGCATGGATGGACAGACAGACTTCTGGAGAGACTGGGAGGACTATGCCCATGGTTTTGGGAACATCTCTGGGGAGTTCTGGCTGGGTCAGTACTTCTCAGGGACTGGGGAACTAGGGATGAGATCAGGGCCCTCTAGACACCAGCTGATAAGGGCACACTCCCCACCTCCAGGCAATGAGGCCCTGCACAGCCTGACAAAGGCTGGAGACTACTCCATGCGTGTGGACCTGAGGGCTGGGGATGAGGCCGTGTTTGCCCAGTATGACTCCTTCCAAGTAGACTCCGCTGCAGAGTACTACCGCCTCCACCTGGAGGGCTACCAGGGCACTGCAGGTAAGGGTGGGCCACAGGGGCCGGAGGGTGGGGCCAGAGGGAGGTCCTCATCCCTCCTGCTTCCGCCCTTCCCAGGGGACTCCATGAGCTACCACAGTGGCAGTGTCTTTTCCGCACGTGATCGAGACCCCAACAACTTGCTTATCTCCTGCGCTGTCTCCTACCGAGGGGCCTGGTGGTACAGGAACTGCCACTATGCCAACCTCAATGGGCTCTATGGAAGCACAGTGGACCACCAGGTGAGGGGGCATCAGGCAGTGCAGAACCAGGGTGCCCTGCAATGTGACAGGACCCCCAGTTGAGTAGCCCGGTACCTCCAGGCCCTCATCTGTGAAGTGGAATAACAACGCTGACCTCACGGTGGTCTGGAGGACATGATTTATTAGCTGGAAAGGGCCAGCTGAGGAGTAAACCTCAATCCTTTGTAACTGAGGGTCAGAAAGGCAGCGAGGAGGGAGGTTGGTTGAGTGCTGGGAGTCCTTGGAAAGGGGCAGAGAGGAGCAGATAGGATTTGGGGCTCTGACTATCTCTTGACCACCCCTTTCCCAGGGAGTGAGCTGGTACTCGTGGAAGGGCTTTGAGTTCTCAGTGCCCTTCACGGAAATGAAGCTGAGACCAAGAAGCTTTCAGTCCCCAGCGGGAGGAGGCTGAGCTATCGTCCACCTCTCTCGCACCCCAGTATGACTGCCAAGCACTGAGGGGTCGCCCTGAGAGAAGAGCTAGGGGCCGCCTTAGCCACCCGGCCACCAGAAGAAACCTTCTCTGTCAGCGATCTCACAGCATCATGTTTACAGGGGGGAGGGGAAGGGGTTATATGGAAGCAATAAAGGAGAAACTGAGGCACATGGCTGGCGCTGGTCCTGCCCCATCACTGTTGCTGGCGCAGCTAGGGTCCCACGCCCCGGGGCTGCAGCCGCACTTGGAAAGGCTGTACCTTGAGGTTGGTGGTGAAGTAGGGCTGGGGCTGCAGAGAGGGCAGGGCACCTTCAGCTGGTGGCAGCAGTGTGAAGGCCTGCAGTAGTCGGGCCAGCACCACAAAGAGCTCCAGGCGTGCGAGCGGCTCACCCAGACACACACGGGCCCCGCACCCAAAGGCCAGCACTCTGGGGCTCTTTCCCGGCTTCAGGAAGCGGTCTGTGGACAGATGTGGAGGGTGTTAAGTGGCCACCAGGCCCGACCACTACTGCCTCTGCACATAGGCACATGGCAACATGCATACCTGGCCAAAACTCATGTGGCTGCTCCCAGACAGTGTCATCAAGGTGGGCACCTTGGAGATTGGGGATGACAACCGTGCCCTCGGGGATGTCATAGCCAAAGATGCTGAAGGAGGGTGGAGTTAGAGGCTGGCCCAGATCCTGCTGGGCTCAGGCCTTCCTCACTCATCCCTAATCCTCTAAAGTCACCTGCTGAGCTGCGTGGTGCGGTGGGGCAAGGCCAAGGGCACAACAGGCCGTAGGCGCAATACCTCCGCAATGGTGGCATTGAGCAAGGGCAGCCGCTCTCGGTCCTTGTAGGAGACCCAGGAGCCAGAAGCACTGGAGCCCAGTTGAAGATCTAGCTCCTCCTGTAGTCGCTGCTGAATCTGGAAGTGGTGATGTCCAGGGTCCAAGCCCTACCCCAGCCAGCCCATAGCTTCCTAGCTTCCAGCCACAGCCCCAGCAACCCAATGGAGACTTTGTGCCAATTAGGAGAGGGCAGCCCCTCTGGGCAAGCACAGCTTGACTCAGGGAGTAGTGCCCAGAGCTGAGCAAGTTGGTCCCTCACCCCACACCAGGCTTCCAGGAAGGAGTTTTGCTCCCCCAGGGAATACCTCAGGATGGTGAAGCAAGAAAGCCACAGCCCAGGAGAGGGTGGTTGCTGTGGTCTCAGTGCCACCAATGAGAAGGTCCACTGCAGCCATGTGCACGTGCCCTTCAAGGAGCTGTCCACTGCCCTCTTCCACTCTTGGCAGTGCCATCTCTTGGAGCATGTAGTCCATCATGTCCCTCCACTGTCCTGCCACCAGGCTCTCCTGCAGAGAGCAGGAGGAGTGGGCTGAGGGGCAGGCCTGGGGAGGGGTGTGGGACAGCAACAGGCCCAGAGCTGGGGGGATGCAGGAAAACCTGCCTCGTAGCAATGCTGGGGCCAGCAGCATCACCCACCATGGGCCCAGGGGAGTCTGATCCACACACAATCCCCACCTTGTGCCACCTCAGCTGCTTCTCTACAAAGTAGTCCCTCTTCTCTATAGTTTGCTGCAGCTTCCAAAGACCCGGATTGGGAAAGAACTAGAGAAGGGAACAAAAGAACTATAGCTGATTGGAAGAGGCCCATTCCTCCTCCCCAACCCCTTCTCCCAGGACACAGGAGTGTCTGGACTCTACATCCTCACCCTGAGAAAAGGAATTATGTCCAAAATTTGGATGGACCAGTGGTCCCAGATTTTCATCACCTCCTGGACCCAGTCGTAAAAGGCATGTATCAAGTTGTCCTCCTACCAGAAAAGGAAGGAATGCTTTCAATACAAGAGAGGATCAGGGAGAGGCTGAGGCTGGGCCTGAGGGCATGTGAGCATGACCTTGATCTTGTCTCCAAAGGTGAGGTAGCAGATGATGCTGCAGGTGAGGAAAGAGAATTCCTTCTGAATGGCCACAGGGGCGCTGGCCTGGGTTCTCAGGCGCTGTGGAAAAGGAGTGTGAGCTAAGTGGGCGGGGGGCAGGAGCTGCCAGGAGAGCTGAGGATAACCCAAGGTGGCTGTGGAAGCCCAGACTCACCTCAAAGAACTCCTGGGTCAGCTTCTCCACCACAGTCTCCATAGAGTTGCGAATGCCCAGCAACAGGGCTGAGCGGGTAAGTTTCTTGTGGGCCTTCCAGAGCAGGGAGTAGTCCCCTAGCGACAGGTCTGGGTAACCCTGAGATGCTAGCTTGTCTACAGGAAGAGTAAGGGGTGAGGGTGAACGCTGACCAAGGAAGCCAAGGGCCTGACCACCTTCTGCCTCCCCCAATTCCTGCTCCTTCCCTGAAGAAATGCCGTGGCCCTTACAGGACAGCATCTGGGGTCTGCCGGCAAAGTCCACCCACTTTCTGACCATGGCTTCCTCAATGGTCCTCTTGGAGTTCAACACCACCACATCTACGGGAGAAGCAGAGCAAAGTAGTCATCAGGGAGAGGACCCTACCACCCTCCCATGGTGGGGCCAGAGAGGGAGAGGGCACTCACACTGCAGCCCCAGGCGGAGCCTATAGATAGGCCCAAATTTCTGGGTCAGGCCAAGCAGATACACTGGCAGGTTGGGCCGCAGCAGGTGCAGGAATCCCGGGGCAAGAGGCGGGAGGTGGAGGCTCCTGAGCTTCCACTGGCCCCACAGCAGGCAGGCACCTGCCATCAGGGGCAGCAGCAGCAGCAGCCCTAGGAACAGCATGGCCAGAAACTGCACAAAGGCCCTGACAGGCCACTTATAGTACTCAGGTCCCAGCCATCCATCCTGCTGCTCAGACTATTTGGGGGCCTCCCTCAACTCCTGTCCTCAGGTCCCTTCCCACCATCCCGCCCACAGAATGACACATTTCTGGAATGGCACCAGTCCTATTGGCCTTGCAAAGTCCACATTTCAAAAAATTGACTATCCATCAAGAAGGAAGGAGAGGAAAAGCAACCCTGACCTTTTCTCCTGCAACCATAATCATCTTTCTGGCTCCACATCAATTATGGGAGCAAAAGTGCTCACCCCTGTCCAGGCCTCTGCCTCTACCCCTTTGGACCAGTTTGTCTCTGAAAAAAAATAGCAGTCCTGGCTCGGCGCCTATAGCTCAACCGGC